ATTTACCGCCCCATTCCCCATCCTCCAAACCCACACCCACCTAGAAGTCCAGGAAGGGAATGATAAAACCTTTTCTGCAGGTCCCAGGTATTACAGAGGGAGAGTAACAGGATGGGGTTGTGGAAAGGGGAAACCCTGAGAAAACGAAAGCTTGGAAAGAGAACAGAGAGAGAGAGAGAAACAAAGAACATTCTTTTCAAACTTGGTTCCCTCCTTTTAAAAAGTATGCATCGCATTCTCCTAGAGGGAACTAGAACACAGTACAGCAGCCCTGGAAGAGATTTCCTCTCGTTAATTTCTCTCCGGTCCCTTAATTGTGTTTAAGCCTGAGTACTTTGTTCACGGTCCCTAGGGCAGTGATTTGCATCTCACTGGCTGGGCTGCTGCTGGCCAGGGCTGGCAGCTGTCTCAGTTCCATTCTGGCTGGGAAAGGTAAGGATCTTTGCCTTGCTCTTTGAAAGGTCTGCGAGAGAACTGCTGAATGCCTAAGGAGGGGTGGAGAGAGGGGGTCAGGGATGGAACCCGTGGATTGGAAACTTTCTGAGAAGTTGTCCAAATGTCAAGGGATCTCCCGGAGCCCTGTGCTTAAAAAAAAAAAAAAAAAAAAAAGCCAGAAAGCTCTGCTCTCCCTTCTGAAAGCAGGCTTGCAGAGAAGGCTGGCTGCATTAGGGATGAGGTTTTTCACTGGGAGAGGGGCTGGGGGTGGGGACAGGTGTCCCTTTAGAAGTTCCCAGGAGTGTTTGATATCCTATTGGCACAGAGTAGAAAAAAAGGGGCAGGGGTGCATTCAAAGGCATCAGGCACCTACCACTGGGAATTGGCTTTGGATTTCTAAAGAGGTTAAAACTGCGTGCGCTCCCACGCTGGAGTGGTACTGCTTATCCTTCAGGTGCCATTTCTGCTTGATCCCACGGCTTCCGACTTGTGTGTGTTTATCACTGCAAATCCCCAATTATCTGCTTAGGCTCTGGAGATGGGCAGCTGTGCGTCTAGGCAGGAGAAGGAGGGGGAATATGACACCTGAGGTCTAAGAGGCTGAAGAAAGCTCTGCTGTTACAAGCAGTGACAGACCTGCCCGCAGGCTCCGGGGCTCAGGGATATGCTCCCTGCCCCTCACTGTAGGCTCCCTAGGGGAAGAGGTGTCTCTGGCTTCTCTCTGGATGGTTCGTGTACCTTTGACTTTGGTAATGGGGCAATGTAAGCTTCTGCAGGAGAAGGTGATAGTCTGACCTTCAGTGGGTTTATCAGGCTGGTTAGGGGAAGGCAGCCCATGCTAGGAAGTAGACAGGAATTGCCCCCAAAGGCCAGTTTGCAGTGGGCAGACTGCTGGTTTTATAAGAGAGTCTCCAGAAGCTCTAATTTATGTAGCCAGTGACCCCCCTACCCCCTCCCCGAACAATGATGGCCAGTGCTGACCTGGCTGGCTCTAGGTATTCCTTATCTTCAGCTCTAAGTATTCCTTATCTTCAACACCATGCCACAGCCTCTTCCTGGGTGAGGGTGGGGGCAGCGGAGGCCCTCCAAGGACTCATCCTCCCCAGCAGGCTGGGACCCCTCCCCTAGGCCTCTTCAGGGACTTGTCAACTTTATGTTTCAAAATGAAGGAGCCCAAGTCCTCCCTGGCTCCATTCTAGAGAGAAAAGACCCTGGTCCCTCCCGCTTTGTGACAAAATTGGCAAGGTGCTGTTGCTGGAAGGAGCAGAGGTGAGATGCCTCTGAGTGCCCACGCCCTCTGCCAGCAGTTAGAGAATCTAACATCGGAGATTTGTAAAAAGGGGGAATGTTTCCTGAGATTTAATCTAGGTGGGTAGATTGGCAAGATTTGTTAAAAAGAAGTTATCGAGACTTGTATAGATTAAAAAATGAAGGGTGGAAAAGTTTTAGCTGTACAAGTATAGAGGCCAGCTTATAATAGTCTCCCAGTATTATTCTTTTTGTTTTTTAACCTCAAAATGATAACCTGGAGCTTTAAGATGAAAACAGCTTGTCTCATAAAGTATAAACCGATAAGGCCATTGAGGGAGAGGGGTGGGAAGTGCGTCTTTAACTTTATTGTTTGAGAGGGTGAGGTGTTATGCCCTAGGTGTCTGAATGTTTAAAATATCTTGCTTCTTAAAGAAGCCACAAATCCTCACAGGGCAGGACCCTGTGACAGACCCATGAATCAGAATATACCTTTAACAACCCTTCAACGCCCCCCCTCCCACCTTGTGAATTTTATGCTCATTAAAGACTAGGGTTCAAGCCAACGAGTTCTCTCTTTCTGTGTGACCTTTGTCAGATTACTTACCCTCTCTGGACCTCATTGATAAACTATCGGTAAACTCAGGTATAAACTCACTAGTAAGCCAGTGAGCAGACGTGTTCATGCGGGCGTGCTGCCCGTGTCCAGCCCATAGGAAAAGCTCTGCAAATGACAGTGATGACGATAATGTCAACACGGCCAGAGTGACCTCCTCCCAGAGGTAGTAAGTCATCATGTGGAGACCGAGATAGTGGCTAGTTTTCCCTCTTAGGGCAAACATCTGTATCTCCCGCTGCGTTTCTAAACGAATTAACAACAATCAAGAGGGTTTAAACTGCCCACGGCCTGCACACACAAGTCAAGGAAGATCACTGGAGAACTAGGAACCCAGATTGGTTTGCTGGCTGAGAGGCTGAATTCAGCTGCCCGAGGACTTTGCAGCTGCTCCTGCCACCCTCCAGGGTCTGTCCCCTCGGCTGGGTTTGCAAAGGGCAAAGCGGGCTCAGGGGTTTTCTCATGAAAATGCCTGAAGCGCCCAAGGCAGCTCTGGCTGGGGAAAACATGAGTAATGCAGCCACAGTCTACTGAGTCAGTGCTGGGAGAGAAATAAAGTAAAAGCTGGCTCCTGTCCCTAGGGACTGGGGAAGGATTCGCACTTATCATGTCACTGAGGGGGACGGGGAGAGGGAGAAGGGGGGTCAAAGTCAAAATCCGAATCAGCTGGCAAGGAAAAGAAAGAAGTGAAGGGGAAAAATGACAGGGAGGGGCCATCAGAGGGGGAGGAAATAAAAGGAGAGAGAGGGAAAGACAAGCGTCATTTAGGAACAGAGGTAGAGTGAAAGGAAGAACGCCAGGATCCGAAACTGGCCATATAATTCAAGATTTTTGTTTCTTTCCTTTTTCCCCAGAGGAGATTTGTTTCAGTGACGGACATGCTGTTACGGGTTCTTTTCCCAGAAGCTGACCAGAAGAAGCTGAGGCTCTGAGGTTCCTCCCAGCCCCCGCCCCCACCCACCCACTACCACCATGAACCAAGTGGAGTGGTTTCCCTGGTAATGGATTGCTTCTCCCTGAGAAACGGGTAAGTAGTTTGGGGACAGATCTTCATTTTCAGTTTAGGTTGCATCTCAGCTTTGGGGTGAAGATTTTTTTTTTTCTTTCAGAGATAATCTCAAAAATCCTTTTACTGGCTCAGCCAATATTTAGGGTGTCATTGGACAGCAGTAATTAATTTGTGACTAAAATTTTTATGCAAATAGAGAACTCTCATATATTTAGCTTCACTGCTCAGGGTTTGATTTGAACTTGAATTTGTTCTCAGTGAGAGCTTAATATGACCCAAGTATTAATATTAATCATTGAAACAGCCTCTGTAATCTGCATAACTTAGCTCCTAGACAGCTTCTGATAGACAAAGAGGAATGACTTAATGTGTCCGAGCAGCAGACAAGAGTTTACGCTGGTTTCTCACAGACAGCATTTCAACCAGATGCTTTTGATGGAGTCTCGGGTTCTGTGCAGAAATGTTCAGATTCAAAATATTTACAGATGCGCATCGTGTGGGGACAAAATGAACTTGTAAAACTTTCCTGAAAACCTAGCTTTCCACCCCCCCACCTTCCCCCCAGCACGGTACACATCCTATCAACAATCCTTGTTGAGTTGAATGGTAAATTTGAAAATTATCCTAATAGTTGATCCTATAAAAGTGTCCAATGATAGCCTCCAAAAATTGACTTTCTTTCTTAATTTTTCTCTTTCCATTCCTTTCACATGGATGGGAGATATTGCCACATTTGGGATCCACACAGCTTAGCCTCGTTGTCACTAAAATTTTACAAAACTGCATCCACACCCAAGTCCCGGGACACATGGTGCCCCGTGCTTAGTAGTCACACAAGAAAGACTGGCTGACTGTCTGGCTGATGTAGAAGGACCTCATTGGTACGCTGGCTTCTGGTCTTGACATTGGTTCAGTGGGCAGTGAATGGGTGAGAGTTTGGAAAGAATGCCTGTTATGCCTGGAAACATTGGCAGGATCTGAGTTGCTATGAGCCGTGGAAAGAACTGTGCCGAGTATTGTTTATAAAGTAGCCTCCTTGAGGGAGGCCTCTGGATTCAGGAGGTTCTCCGGTGTGCTTAGAGGAAAGAGAAGCAATAGGCAAGGAGGAAAGGCTAGTAAAACATCAGTCCACCGCCAGGGTCTATTAAACACTGCAAAGTGCTTCCTGCTTTTTACATCTTTGTTTCTTTATGGCAATCTGCTTTATCTTGCTTTCTACCCAATGCAAAAAGAATGCAAAGAATTAGAAATAGTGCTGAAACCGGTTTGGCTCAGTGGATAGAGTGTCAGCCTGCGGACTGAAAGGTCCCAGGTTCGATTCTGGTCAAGGGCACGTACATTGGTTGTGGGCACATCCCCGGTAGGGGGTGTGCAGAGGGCAGCTGGTTGATGTTTCTCTCTCATCGAAATTTCTAGCTCTCAATCTCCTTCCCTTCCTCTCTGTAAAAAATCAATAAAATATATTTTTTTTAAAATAATAATTTGAAATAGAAATTTGGGTTTCTTTCCACGTGCATTCCCCCCTGCAGAAAAGGACACAGCGGTGTCTCCGCAGCTCTTTCTGCCCCTTGCAGGGGTCGCTGTCCTGCATTTATTTCTCTGACATCTCTCGTCTTCCCCTCCACAGCCTCCACCCTGGTGAGAGCCCCGAGGTCTAGTCTGTGAACTCAGCTGGGAAACACCGCTGTAAAAATGACCACTGAAGAGCCTGTCAAGGAGATTCTGGGAACCCCAACACCTCCCAAGCCGGGAACAACGGAGAAGAGCCCCAAGAGTGAAGTCGTAATCACCACGGTCCCTGTGGTCAGCGAGATCCAGCTGATGGCCGCCACCGGGGGCGCTGAGCTCTCCTGCTACCGCTGCATCATCCCCTTCGCCGTGGTGATCCTCATCACTGGGATAGTGGTCACAGCCGTGGCTTACAGCTTCAACTCCCACGGCTCCATCATCTCCATCTTGGGCCTGGTCCTTCTCTCCTCGGGACTCTTCTTGCTGGCCTCCAGCGCCTTGTGCTGGAAGCTGAGACAGAGGCACAAGAAAGGCAGGCGACGCGAGAGCCAGACAGCGCTCATGGCAAATCGGAGGAGCTTGTTTGCTTAGGATTGAAAGAGATCGAGTGAGGCCTGAGGCTGAGCACCCTGCCTTCTCTGCATCAACCAGTGCACCCCCAACTCCTGTGGGAGAGGTCGGACTTGGCACAGGAGCGGACGAGGGGAATGGGAATGGGTGGAGGAGGGGTGGGGGGCAGGTCCTCATGTGGGAGAAATGACTTGTATCTTCTCTAATGACAAACTTAACTCTAAGGGCTATTTCTCAGATTGCAGAATAAGCTTTTCCTCCACATTAGACCTTGTCGGGGTCATGGGAGGTGTGCAGCCTGAGACAGCATTTGGTTCACCTTGGAAAGGAGACAAGAAAGACGGGGAAACAATTGGATGGTTCTGGCACACAACCCATAACCTAGGTATGTGACCCGTCTCCCTGTGAAATAACCCACAGGCATAAGAAGCTGTATTGCAAACATGTGCTGCCGAGAGTCTCCATGGCCTTGGACTTGGCATACTTCTATGAAATTCTGTGATAACTTCTTTTTTCAATAAGTTGATTGCCTGGCACCTGTTTTACTTGTTGTTTTTCAGTAACTCATGACTGACTGGTGGTACTTTCTCTTGAAGAATAAACTAATATTTTTTATGTTTTAACATGGGACAATGTTAGATGATTATAGTGATGTATCCAAAGTAAGAAAGAGGTGAAAGGTAAAACTACTAGATGACATAGGAGAGGGGATTAAATTAATATTAAAGTAACCCAATATAGCACTTTTGATGATTTTTATATAAAAGTTTAATGTACATTTCATTCGAAATAATAAATAATCATTGCTGCTGTCACTTCTTAAATGGCTGTTTCAGTTGCAGTTATTTTATTAGTTCCAAATTGCCCGTCTCCCCTTGCCTCGTCTACAAGTGTCTCTATTTCTCACAAGTGGGCATGTTGCTTCCTCCTAACTCAACTAGAAGATTTTTTTATGTTATCTTATTATTATGATTTAATCCTTAGCCAAAGACACCCTTTTTTTATTATTGATTTGAGAGAAAGAGGAAAGGAGAGAGAGAGAGAGAGAGAGAAACATCAATCGGTTGCCTCCTCTAAGCACCCAAACTGGAGGTCAAACCCACAACCTAGGTATGTGCCCTGACTGGGAGAAGACCCTGCAATGCTTTGGTGTACGAGACAATGCTCCAAACTACAGGGGAAACCCAGCCAAGGCAAGGATTTTAATTTTTATACATCCTTTTTTTCATGACTTCTATAGAATACTGTTAATTATTTTTACTAGATAGTAAAGATTTTGTATGCCAATACAATTAGGAAATCAATGTCTGGAATTTTATAATGTGTTGTTCAATGCACGGTGAATATTTATTGGGGAATCAGTCATTAACTAGTTGCTTATGATATTTTTGAGCACCAACTATGAGCCAAGCTTTGTGTAGATTCGTGGGCTGCTTAGTGATGGTTGTTCGAAGGTTACTGCTTCAATTCTATGAACATGGAGCTATTCCACACACGGCAAGGACTCGACCCCACAACGCTGGCCAGAAATATTCCTGGTTCATGGAGTTTACACTGCATGTAGCTAAACAGGTACACAGCCCTTTTTTTAAAACCTTGGAAAACAAGGCCAGGTTAAACAAATCTAGCATAGCCCTTTGGATGAAAGGTATTCTATCAAGGAATTGAATTAAATATGGCAGGTTCTGACCGCTCCTTGGTATTTGGTAGTTTTGCTAAGAGAGATGCTTTGATGGCTTAGTTACTCCTGGAGTTGAAGGTCAGATGGTAGAAAGAGTCTGGAGTTGTTGATTACAGTAGAGCAGAGAATGATGATCTTAAACACATGGAAACCAACCCTCCTCTGGATGAAATACAAGAGTATGGCATTGTGTTTCTTTCAGTGGAAGCGAGTCTCTGCTTTGACCTGAATTTTGCTGCTCTAAGATATTCAAAGGCTCCCAACTGCTTGCTGAAGAAATTTCCCAGGCAAGTGTTCAAGGTTCTCCAGGGTCTGATCCAAACAGATGTATCCAGCTTTCACTCTCCCTGCAACCCGAAAACTTCTTATGAGTTTAGTCAGACCAGACTAGTCACGCTTCCTGGATCAGGTTTCCGTTTTCCTCCACTTCTGTTTAAACTTGTTTTTCCTCCTCCAGATGCCATCTTTTCTTTCTCCATCCTAATAGATCCAATCCTGCTTCCCACTAGAGCCCCAACTGAAGTGTCACATCTTCCTAGAAGCCTTCCCTTTCATCCGAAACTAACTGCTCCTTCCAGAGTCTATTCATTCTCTGAGGGCACTTGCATTTCTACCATGTCAGTGGCATAAAAGTTTTATTCTCATCCAAAGCTCCTTAGAAGTGTAAGGGGTGTCTTTATTTTTTAACCCCATGTGATGCCTAATAAATTGTCTTGCACAGAGTAGGTACTCAGTAGTGTTGGTTAAATGAACTATTGAATGAAAAATCAGAAAGTGAATGATTTATCTAGAATTACTGCCCATTTGTTTTCACCTCTTAAAGGAAAATATTTTAGTTCTCAACTCTCCCCAAAAAGCTCACCCCCCTCTGCCCTGCCTCACTGTCAGCACCAGATCTAGGTGAGTCTTGACTACCTTGTCCTTCTCCAGCTACACCTGCCCTTCAATGCCTGACAGGGAAACTCATGAATTCTTTCATGCCACCAGGGGGCCTCGTGCTGCTATCTGAGATCCAGAAGAAACACCAGGGAATGGCTTACATTGTAATGACTCACATGAGATTCTGTGTGGAGAGAGACACATCTGTCCTGGATGTGAGAACTCAGTGAAGAGTCTCCATTGAGCCCACTCCTCCCCTTTTCCCTAGACCACTCCCCATTGGCTACTTCTGGGTTCTCATGGGAGGTATGGGAGGGCTTTGCCGTGTCTAGGGAGCTTTGGTTACATTAAAGGGAATATGGCCCTGCAAAGACATAGTCCTATGCACAGAGATAGTCCTAGTCAAACCCAGACCTAAATTATGATATCACAATGATCTCCTCACATATGTGTTTATTGGGCACTGTTTGTCTTTTCAAATGATTTTATATATACCAATAAGCAGATATTAAATGCATTCATAAGCATGATGCAGGCATATATATATTAAATGATAACCTGGCCCCATCCTGGAGCATGAGAAACTCCCTAAAACTAATAGGATTTCCCCTAAAACTCACATGTCCCAGAATGCACAGGAACAATGTTTAATCTTATCCTGTGGAGCAGGTTTCTGTCCAGGTGAGAACTATAGCCACACAGAAGAATCTGCTCTTCCCACCTCACTGTCTTAATTAATTTAGGGTCTTGCCTAGAGAAGGTGATCAAAGTCAAGTGGATTGTACAGGTGGGCAAGCCCAGGAGAGCCGGGTCATAAATCCTCACACTTACTTCTTTGTACCACCACCAGTCAGAGAGAGAGAGAGAGAGAGAGAGAGAGAGAGAGAGAGAGAGAGAGAGAGAGAGAGGAAAAGCAAGAAGGAGGAGGAAGAAGAGGAAGAGGAGGAGGAGGAGAAGGAGGAGAAGGAGAAGGAGAAGGAGAAGGAGAAGGAGAAGGAGAAGGAGAAGGAGAAGGAGAAGGAGAAGGAGAAGGAGAAGGAGAAGGAAAAGAAAGGAGAAGTAGGGGAGGGGGAGTTGTAGGGGAGGGAGAAAGGAGAGGAGAAAGGGAAGAGATATCCTTGTTTCCTGGGAAGTATTATGGTTTTGAACTTGGAAGATATGGCTATGAATTCTACCTCTTCTGGTAAACTAGTCAGATGATCTTGAGAAGTTAAGCTTCATCTTTAAAATAAGGTTATTTTTCAAAGAAATTTTTTTGTAAACTACAAACTACTACATAATTTCAAAATTGCCATTTATTATAATATTTCATGTGACCTCTGTTCCTTTCTCTAGCCATTAATCCAACATGTCATTTAGCATCAAGCAGCCCCTTGTTTTGATCAAGGCTTTAACCAGTCACTGTGTTTAACCTTGACATTAGCCACAAGGCTTTCTAGACCCAAGATAAACTGGGGAGAGCACCTGTTCCACAGATGAGTCATGACTTACATTTCCTCTATCACAATCATCAGTGCTTTCACATATACTGCAGTCAGTGTGAAGGTATACTTAATATGGAAATTCAATTAGGTGCCCTCAACAACAACCAACAAGGAGAGTATGACATTCCCTCCTCCCTCCCCTGCCATTACAGCCAACCTTGTCCTAGGTTGTCCACAGAGAGGAAGACCAGGGCAGACATCTAAAGATAAACAATAGAAGTAAATTCCTGGGTCCTGACCTTTGAAGCTCCAAGGGCACCCCAGTGATAGAAGGCTTATCTAAGGAATGTCAAGGGAATTTTGTTTATACTTGATTTTTATATCACTCCCTGACTTCATCTGTGCACAACAGACTCCACTGTACCTGATGTTACCTGATTTCTCTACACCACTGTGAGGTTACAAGTGCTAGCACCCACCCAGCTCTGCAGAGAACAAACTGCAGCTCAGAGAAAGGGACTTATCTCAATCAAGATCTCTCATCAAGTGAGGTCTAGAGATTGGCCCTTCAACCAGCTCAGCCTCTTTCAAATGCCTGCAGAACCCACAGCAACTATGAGATAATAAGCGTTTGTGGTTGTAAGTTGCTCAGTTTTGGAGTAATTTTGTCATTCAGCAGCAGATGACTAATAGTGTGCTATTATGAAATTTTTTCTATGTGGTTTTTGGTGTCCATATGTACACGTTTCTGTTGGGTATAGCCCAAGGAGTGGAATCCTGGGCTAAAAGATAAGTATGTATTCAGCTTCACTGGTTGAATGGATTTACTCTCCTACCGGCACTACAATAAAGAGCTGGATGCATCACATCTTCATCCGTTTGTTTATACTTTGCCTCTTTCTTATTGTAGTCCTCTGGTTGCTATGAAGGTATATATTTAAGCAAAGGGATGCAGCAGAAGAACTTAGGATGTGATTGGGCAGAGCAACCTAGAGGTTGGAGAAGAAATTAGAGTGGAAAAGTAAGATTTATATCTG